TTCAATGCATATACACTGTGGAACTGATAATTTGTGTCTATTATGGTGCTCAGACATTATTATGCATAGGATTTTGGCTCATTTGCAGTTAATCACCAGCCATATCCCTGCTTCCTGTTTCTTTGGTGGATAGTTCTTTCAAAAGTTGGACATTTCTAGGATGCAATTAAATCTGTGTTATATCCAAAATGTCAAAGCTCTTTTTAACGTCAAGTGCCCGGGCCAGTCCTTGAAACATTTATCAAGTCAATCTAATTACACTCTGATTTGACTCCACAGGACTGCTATAAATCTATTTATAACATTTAAAAAAAATGGAGACATAAAACACTGATATTGCATCCAAGTAGCTTTTCTTTTACCAACATCCCTTGTTATATGATAAAAAAAATTGATGGTATTTCTTGTCTTCTTACAAGTGTTATAGATGCATAATAATGCCAAAGAGGAGGAGGATATTCCAAATGTAGAAGCATTAAAAATGAATTTAAAGGATGAAGGGGGAAAGAGAAAAGGAAAAGGATGAGGAGAATGAGACACAGAAAGAAGAAAAGAAAGGGGAAGAAAAGGGGAAGGTGGAAAGAAAGGGCATTCAAACCCTAGAGCTTGGCCTTGAGCTGTTTGGTATCTTTTTGGAATTCTTGTAGCTTCATGGCTAAGCCCATGTTTCCCTTAATCTTCAACTTTCCTTGGAAGAAGGCCTTCTGTGGGTTCAGCTTCCCTTCCATCAGATCAACAAGGTCATTGTCATTCATGGTGATTGTCACATCTGGCTTGGCTGAAAAACAACAACAATAATATCATGAAGTCTTGACAACAATGAACTGGCATATATATATTTGTTTGTGTGAATCTGCCTTCAAATTTGACACAAAGCACTAAATGTGAGTTGTGAGTGTAAGTTCCAAACATTTGATAGCATGTTTCTCTTGTGTGTGTAAGTAGGTGTATTAATGAGTAATACATGGAAATTTGTGAGTTCAAATTTTGGTATGTATGTTTGCTTGTAACTAATTTATAGTTCTAGTTTATACTCACCTGCACCATTGAAAGTAACTGAACCTGACCCATTCTTGGCGTCCACAATCCACTTGGCTTCTTTGCCGTCAGGACCTCCCTTGACTTGGAAGCAGTACACACCCTTTACCTGAAATATCAAGAAAAATGAAGCTCTGGTCATTCTCTTTATGTTACATCATAAACAAATAAATTGAGAAAACTCCGACAAAACATCATTCTGACTATACCTTGTTAACGAGCTTGGGTCCGTCTTCAGAAAGTGCAACTTCAATGGCATTAAAGATGTTTGCACTTTTAAACTCCTCTCCAGCTGATGTAGCTGCTGCCACAATCCTATGGGAAAAAAATATATAATAAGAAAACCAGTTACAGGAATGAAATGCAAATTAGGTTGAAGGGATCATGGTGGCTTTATCACATAAATGAATTGAATTGAAATTGAAATTGAAAAAATCATAATGAATATGTCATATATATGGTTAAAATAAGTATTTGGATTTTATGGGACCTTAATATTCCATGCTGTCATTCTTAAATCTTTCTACATCCAGCTCTTTATTTACTGATATATAAATATAATGTAATGTTCTAAAGTCCATGAAGAAAATATAAAATATAACTATGATAAATAAATCCACAAAATAAAAATAAAATATATACTAACAATAAAATAATACTCCAGTGTATATATCAGACTAATCTATGTCTTTACAATTAAAATATCTTACAGAAAAATGTCAACCATAGACAGAAGCCTAGACTCACCCCCTTTCATTGCCTCTGAAGCCCATCCTGTAGAGTGCTACAACCGCTGCTCCTCCGAGACCAATGTTATGCTGAAGAGCTAATTTTGCCCCAGGCACTTGACGTTTGCCCGCTTCACCACGCAGCTGCCAACACAACTCGGCACACTGCGCAAGGCCTGTAGAGAAGATAAATTTACTTGTAACAATTGTTATAAAGCAAAACAAAAATAGCAGTTCCTACAATAATGCCTGTCAACATAGTAGTAGACCAAAACAAAAAATGCAAACACTGATCTCCACTAGCTTCACAACCTACCAGCACAAGGGTTCTCTGACAAAGGAAAGAGTGCTGATCAAACGCTCAAATATAGTAGCACCTGATCTTCTTATCAGTATCTGATAGAGATATTGTCTCCAAGGCAGATGGACCCAGATAAAAAAGGCAAGTAGCCATAAACCAAAAAATTAAAGTAGACATACAAAAGTTACTACAGTATGAAAAAATAAATATTGCTATTATTAAGAAAAACTAGAGGAAGAAGAAAATATATACATATGTATTTCCTTTTTCATCAAAATATAAATTTATTCTTATTACTCATTAACAATTTCTCTTGTCTGTTTCATTATCCTTTACAATTCCTTACAATTAACATCTGCATATATCCATTTCAACATAGGATTTGCATAATAGCAAAGCCGACCTCCTTACCATATTCTTATGGGGAAATGGTCATTGCTCTCCCTCCCCCTCCCATGTAATCTTTAACCCATTCGTGCCGGGTATTATTAAGAAAAACTAGAGGAAGAAGAAAATATATACATATGTATTTCCTTTTTCATCAAAATATAAATTTATTCTTATTACTCATTAACAATTTCTCTTGTCTGTTTCATTATCCTTTACAATTCCTTACAATTAACATCTGCATATATCCATTTCAACATAGGATTTGCATAATAGCAAAGCCGACCTCCTTACCATATTCTTATGGGGAAATGGTCATTGCTCTCCCTCCCCCTCCCATGTAATCTTTAACCCATTCGTGCCGGGTGTCACGTATACGTGATGGGCCCACTGTGAGTTTACTTGTTTGATTGTTTTCCACATATATGGCTACACTTGTACTTGTACTGCCTGTCTCGCCTGTTTACTCTTTTCTCTAATTTACGAAAATATTTAATGTTATCTTATTTTGTTCTTACTAATCTTTATAACATTATAGTAATTATAATATTTATGATAAAAATAACCATCGATATTCATAGCACTAGTAAAAATACATTTTCCCACCAAATGAAATCAGGTAAGGCAGAGCCATCTAGTGTAGAGATATTTCACAAAAAAATGAGCACAGCATTTTCCCCATTTTTTGTTAATTTTTACCCGGCACAAATGGGTTAAGTATTTCAAAACTAAGAGAGAGAGAGAGAGAGAGAGAGAGAGAGAGAGAGAGAGAGAGAGAGAGAGAGAGAGAGAGAGAGAGAGAGAGAGAGAGAGAGAGAGAGAGAGAAGGGGGTATTTATACTTAGATCAATAAACCCAGTTATTTTATAAAAATCATAAAGTAGTTCGAAGCCTTTTTTTCTTTGTTTTGTTTTTGGTATGTATATTTCACACATAAATCTTTAACCCAGTGGTTCCCAACCTTTATCATTCTGTGACCCACAACCAATATAAATGATCTCAATAGCCTGGTTCAGTATCTATCAACTTTTCAGATTCAATTTTTACTAATTAAGAATAGTGTAATGGTGTTAGTAGCTGTGGGACAAGAACACTTTATGGAAAGATGCCAATTTATTGATATATGAGAGATAATTATATGTAGGTATGTAAGTGTTATAGAATTCAGTCTAATTCAACGTCATAATCTTCATATTGTTTCATGCCCACCAGAAAGTACCACTTATAGGCCAGTTACACACAAACACTTGTGTGCAGAGACAAGACTCCATGCCTCCCCATTGCAATGTTAATTTTTCTTTTTCTGCATTTTCCAAAGTCTATATTTGTCATTTGATTTGCTTCATCCAGATTATAGACTGTTTTACTTATATAGACTCCATATCCTCTCTCGGGGTAGACCATAACTCAGTGCAAGAAAAATAACATAAGACATTATTGGTCATTTTCTTCATGACATTCAATTTTCTGTAATACAATCTATGCCACCAGTCATGGTAAGGAGGGAAAGATTTTCATGATAGCAAGTTCCTGTTACCCTGGCCTTCAGCCAATTTTCCCATGGCAACATGTTCATGTCACTCACCTCTCAAGTCAAAAAATTTCATGACATGATGGTCATGCCATCCATATCATAGGGGGTTAAAAGATAACCTTTTAATTTGGCCCTAAGCATGAAAATGCAACTGATAGCTTAACAATGTGGAATTAGTTGCCAATTCTGAGGAACCACAGAAGCAGTTGGAGAGTTCTTCAAAAAAGACAGAACTCACTACAGACTCCACTGACTTGTAATAATAAATTTCATACTCCCCTAAATAATATCTGGAGAAAATATGGGTCACAGATGGTCACCTTTGAAGGGGTAAAGATGCCACAGACAACTCAATGAGGGCATAACCTCAACTAAAAACTGAAGGTAAGCATGACTCAAGTAAATTACCAAGGGCTTTTCTCCTTCAGTTTTCCAACAGAGGTTAACAAATATTCACCACATATATTTTTGCAAGATAGCTTGGACAAGTGCCTTCAACCAGACTCTAGGTTACAAACCTGGCTGTAGTGTACTTAGTCTCTGAGTGGTGAGAAACAGTAGGTATTTTCATCACTTTGCATTGAAAATGAGCCCAGAGCAGCTGTACCATTACCCTTATTTTCTATGCCATTTCTCAGAATTGTGTGTGGCTCTCAGTAACATTAACCCATCAATTACTTATCTTAGAAATAACAAAACAGACTAGAAAGGTCATGTAAAACTTTATCATTAGCTGTTCCCTTTTTGGTTTTAACGATCATTTCTACATAACATTAATAATGTCAAAAAAGTTAGATATAGGTTTCATAGGACAGCATATAAATGCACCCCAAATCTAACAACGTTAGGCTAAGCCACAATATGTATTAAATAAACGCGGACACTGCCTGGAGAAAAACGCTTGCTCACTCGTCTGCCCTTCAAATTGCACACGAAAGAAGTTCGTATTTTCCTCCTTCCCTTCTTACATGACTTATCACTATTGCCCAAGGTAAGAGCACACATTCGCCTA